TCCAACAGGACTGAGGGGTGCAGTGGCAGTATCCACATTCATAGGGCCGGCGTTCAGAGAGAAGACGCTAGGGGTCAACCAGGGTCGAGTGGAAATGTTGGGGCAGGAAGGTGGCGAGGAGCTGAGAGTGGGGTGAAACGTCTTCCTGCGTTGGAGGGGGCTCGAGCCCAGAGGCTCCTACCCGTCCGGCAGTGGAACTGGAGGGCCTGGGGCCTCCCCAGGAACCCCCTCGTCCACAGTTCTTACGTCCTGGTGTGAAGCCAGACCTGTATGGAAGTCCCCCCAGCTGCCCCGGGGCCAGCAGGAGGGGTGAGGGGGGGGGGTGAGGCTGTCTGTGTGTGTGACTGGATCTGGGGAGAGGGGGCTTGGAGCAGAGCTGGGCCAGCCGTCCAGGCCTCTCCCTGTCCAAGCAGCCTCTTCACAGTGACCCTGACCTTGCCCTGACTTGGCAGAGAGGGGTCTGGGAGCCTAGGCTGTTGGTACTGTGTTTGTGGCTGTGCTGCCCTGGGGTGTTCAGGGACGGGGAAGGGGACAGGAGGGGACGGGAGGGGACGGGAGGGGACGGGAGGGGATGGGAGGGGAGGGGAGGGGAGGGAAGGGGAGGGGACGACCCCCTGCCTGTGCCCGGTGCCCTGCTTGACCTGCTCCATGCGGTCAGGGGTCGGAGTCTCCGTGGATGACAGCCTGGGCTCTGCTCCCTTCCCTCTGCCATGCATGCTGGTCACTGGCCACTTCCAGGGCCAAGGCCCCAGGACAGGTGTGGCCAGAGCACGCAGATGGGCTTCTTCTGCCGGCGACCACCCCACCCCCGTCCCTGGGCTCCTGTGTGTGAAGTGAGAGCTGGGGCGCGGTCCCCGGCTCAGGCGGCGGGCTCACTGCCCTCTCCCCCTCAGACTGATCCCACCGCTCAACCAGCTGGAGCTGCTGCGGAACCTCAAGAGTAAATCCGGACTCACGTTCAGGTCAGCGAGGCGCTGCCGGGCTGCAGCTTGGGCGCAGGGGTGGGCGTGCCGTCCTCCTGCGGGCACTGCTGCCCATAGGGACCTGGACGGGGGGGACGCCGGACACCGGCTGGCCACAGGGCCGGGTGATGTCCGCGTGCTCGACAGAGGTGGGTGTGGAGTGGAGAGGAGGGTCCCGGTCCCCATGTCAAGAGCTCTGAGTGGGCAGAGCAGCTGCACCGTCCGTGCTGCCCCGCCCCCCGGAGACGGGTGTGGGCCCTGGAGCCTGTGAAGGGGATGGTAGCTGGGGAGCCTTGTGGGTGTGAGTAAGTGAAGGGTCTCAGTGGGAGGTCGCTCTGGGTCAGCGAGGCCCTAGATCCAGGCACGCGTGTCCTCACGAGGGATAGCGGGAAGGGCCGTGTGAGTGCAGGGGGAGACGGGCCCTGGAGCCTCGGTCCCAGGAGCCAGGGGCAGGACGGCCCTGCAGTCCAGGGGAACCCCCTCCCCAGCTTGGACCGGGCTCCAGAATGGGGGGGGTGTCGATTTCTGTGGTTTAAGCCCTCAGTTGGTGGTCCTCGATCCAGAAGAAACAGGAAGCTCACACAGGTCCCGGGAAGCGGGCCAGCACGTGCCGAGCGGCCTGGCGCCTGGGTGCCGGGCAGGCAGTTCGGGGACAGCTGTGAAGAGGGCGAGGGAAGAGCCCGGGTCGTGTGGAAGAAAAGGCTGCTGGGAGCGGGACGGGAGGGGCCATGGGTCCCACGCTGCTGGGACTGCGGTGCGAAGGAGCCCCGCGTGTGCGGCAGGAAGCGGCTGGGGCGCCGCAGGGCCGGCTGGACAGCAGAACCTGCAAGGCCGAGGCCCTCGGCGCGGTTTCCAGCTGCGCCTGTGTCCCCCGCTGCTGGTCCCTGGTGGCAAAATGCACAAAATGCGGGAGGAGAGGCGAATCTGGGGAGGAACTGCTGAGTGGAGACGCCAGCCTCAAAGACGTGGGGGTTGGCCAGCCAGATTGCGGACAGTAACTTGGGAGGGAGACCCAGTGCAGGAAAGCGGACTGTGGGGGAGATTCAGGACTCGTGGGTCCGACCAGCCCTCCTTGCGGGAGCAGGCGTGGAGAAGGGCCTCTGGGGGAGAAGTGAGAGCCCCTGGAGGGGGGGACCCCTTTCCCAGGCCCCTGCCCCCCTGGGGCTTCAGGAGCCGGTGCTTGTGGGTTCCGGGCCAGGGCAAGCGAGGGGGTGGGTGGTGCCCAAGGGGGCCCTCCTTGGCCCCTGGGGGGGGGGGGGTGGTGCTTTGGGGGGTCCTTTCCTGGACGGGTTTTCTTGCTTCTGGTTTGAAAGAAAAGGGCCCCAACCCGGAGCCGTCCCCCAGGGTCGGGGCGGGCCCCCCTCCCGTGCTCTGCTTGCGGTGCCGGGGGGCCCAGGCTTGTTCCTGGGAGCTGGGGGGTTGTGCTTGGAACCTCTGCTGGGGCGTGGGTTGCCTGGGGGGGGGGGGGCCCCAAACCCAAGTTTCTTGTGCCCCTTT